GTTCCAGTGACATAGAAGGTATAATTGTTGTCACGGACGCGTCGGTTTGTCTTTTAGTTCTTTCCTTTGGGTAGTTTGAAGGATGTCCTTGGATGCACGGATATTTAATATCGTTACTGTCTTCTTGGTGCCGCAGTCATTTTCCTCTTTCTAAAGGATACTGTGTCTTGTTTGACCATAGCCACTGCGGCCGTCTTCTGAGGAGTATTTACCTCAGTTCCTTTTCCATTCTTTTTAACACGCGCACACAAGCAGACGCACATATGTAATAGCATATTGTTGGGCTTCTGATTTATTTAAATCTAAAAATTTTCATCATTGGTATTTTACATCCTTTACAATTAATATAATTATTGGTATCATTAGATTTAGACTTGTGATTTTGTTGTTCTCTTATTTTTCTGATATTCCTCCCCACCTTTGGGTTATTTGAATATGTTTTAGTATTCTAATTTATGTTTTGTTCTTTAGTGGTTGGTTTTAGTTTTCCTTCAGTTAAGTCTCCATTTCTATGATTTCCATACCTGAAGGATGTTCTCACTGAATGTAGTATTCAACTGACAGTTTTGACTTGGCGCCTAAAAATACTCTCTTGACGTCTCTCCTCTGTTTCAGATGAAAACACCACATCATTTGGTCCCCAGATGAGACATACCATTTAATCTAGCTGCTTTCAAGCTTTACTTATCTTTGTCTTTCAGTTTTATTCTGGTGTATCTGTGACTTTCTCTGAATTTATCCTTTTTTGGGTTTACTTAGCTTAATTTGTAAACTTAAGATTGTCATAAAATATTAGGGTTTTTGCCTATTATTCAAATAATTGGAGTAGAGATTGTTTATGGCTAACTCCATTAATGATAAACGCTTGAACTATAACTGCATGGTTCTCTGCTGTTCTTTCTATAGTACAGCTACAAATTAGCTTGTATTCCTTCAGACCATATAGGGATAAACTTGAAGTTAAATTGGACCAAAAATAACTCATGTAGTTGCAGCCATGCATTTAGATCATTTGTTGTAGGCTGTTTCCTAGACTTAAATTAACAGCTCATTTTGAGTGTCAGTTATATTTTATATGCAGGTAAAGTAAGGCTGTGCTATGTGGCCATGCTTGTTGTCAATTATAAATTTGATATCATTTCATTAATTTTTATAATCCTGCAGCTGTTCCCATTCATGTCTGTAGCTCCTTGTGACTGCCCTGTCCTATAACCATAAATGCATTTGTGTGCTGAGCATACCAGAGGTATCTGAAGACTTCCCTTCTTTCCTGTGCCCCTGATTCAATTTATTCCTTTCTACTTGGATCCTTTAAGGCATCTTTATAGTAACGTATCCTTTCCGGAACCTGCATGTCCATCTCCCACATCTACCCATAGAACTCTCCGTCTCCATCACAGAGATGGTTTGCCCAGTTGCTTGGGCCCTAACATAAAGCTCCTAACTTTGCCCTCACCTTTCACAACCAACCTGTCCAGATCTGTGTGCTCTGACTCCAAAGTCACCCTGGAATTGGCCACCATCTTGTTTCCTGGGTAACTGCCGTGTGCCCCAGGCACGGCAGGCCTCATTGGCCATCAACATTGTTTCGTAAAACACATCAGTGCTTCTCCCATGCGACCACCAGTATCCTTCCAGCAGCTTCTCAGTGTAGACTGTGCTCCACTCCATAACTTGCATTCCCTCAATTAGCGGTCAGAAAACTGGTAGAGGGCAAGGTGGGTATTTCCTGCTTTGTGGCCCAAGTGGTCTGTGTCTAGCTACCTGGTTCTGCTGTCATAGTGCATAAGTAACCAGAGTGTAAATAAATAAGCTGAGCTGCACACCGGTGAGATTATTACCAAGACAGGCCGCTGGCCAGATTCGTCCGTAGGCTGTGGTTTTAGTCCTGAGCCATTAACTGTTGCTCGACCTCATTTTCCTCTCACTTGCCACACGAAAGCCACACCGTCTTGCTCCCATTGTGAGAGCTACCTGCCTGTCGGGTCTCGCAGCGCTTGCCTGCTGCGCCTAGAGCAGTGGCGGCAAACCTTCCGCATGCATGGCAAAGCAGCTGTTGCTGCTGTCAAAAGCTCTAAAGGTTCGCTGTCGCCGGCCTGGAGGGCTCCTCTGGAAGAGCTCTGAAGGCCTGGTCCGCCCTCCGCTGTGCCGGGTGTGGTGTCTTCCCCGGGCTTCCTTCCCAGCTGTCCGCACGGCCCGCACCCACTTACCCCCTTCAGTGCCGCCTGCTCATGGCTTGCTCTTCCTGTGAGTACCCCTGTGCGTTGCTGCATTCCTGCACTTACATGAGTTACTGATGATCAGTGTAGTGATTACTTCATTTTTATATGTGTAAGTATTGTCGCTTCAATATGTAACAGCTTATGGGAAATAGTTATGATACGTTTAGGAGAAAATTTATTTAGAAAATGTTCTTCTTTTTTAAGAAGTCCTTTTTCTTTTGTCTCCTGTTGGGGTGGTGAATGTAGATCTGAAGAGGAATGACTATACTCCTGACAAAATGGTGTTTCCTCAGGATGAGCCTTCAGATTTGAATCTTCAGCCTGCAAATTCTACCAAAGAATCAGAATCAACTAATTCTGTTCGTCTCATGCTGTGATGCTGCTGAATCCTTGGTTTTGCCTGCACCTCACACGTTTCTGTGTCCCTCTTCTTTCGGAGGACGTGGACAATGCAGAAGGTGTGTGCACATTGAATTTGACCCCAGCGTGGTTTAACCTTGTCAGTTAGAAACTCCCTGTGGTATAGCTGGCGGCTGAGAGGTTCTGAAGGTGACGGAAAGTTAGTGTAACTTGTTAAAGGGCTCCTTGCAGCGGAGGTCCGATGAGGGAGGGTGTGGATCCCTCCCACGCGGTGCAATACCATTAACCAAAGTTAGACGTCTGCGCGTCATCGGCCGTTCAGCAAGAGAAATGAAGAACTCACGCGGCCTTGGTCACCTGCCAGTCACGTCTTCCTGGCACGCTCGGCGAGCGAGCCGTTCTTCCCGGCTGGCCGGGCGGCCACAGCACAGCGCTGCCCCAAGGACGCTGGGCCCGAGGGAAGCCCATTTCTGAGAGGGACTTGACTTATGAATCAGGGTCAGGCTCCGTAATGAGAAATAGAGCCAGTTTTTTAAGTAGAGTGCAAATTGTGCAAAAGTATTAGATTTTATTTTGTTAGACCTCGTTGTATCAAATCACTGTTAAGCAGGTGAGAGGGGAAACCGACTCCCGGAGGGCGCTGGTTTCCCTCGAGTCCCGGCCTCTCCCGCTCTGGAGCGACGACCTGCAAGCTGCTACTTCCCAGCCCTGGGCGCGAGTGAGGCCGGGCCGCCTGCTTCGAGGGCGTCCGCTGCTCATCGCTGACGTGCAGCCAGCAGGCCAAGAAAGTCACTCGGCTGCCCCTCTTCTCAGTCCTCCCCGAGAAGAAAACTGTTTTCATCCGCTTTGATTCCTTTTCCTGGTTGTTTCCTAGGTACTAATCTTCATTAATACTTGGAAGGGAGCAGCGTCAAGCTTATTTGTATTCAGTAGTGTATCTCATAGATACAGACAAGGCAAGCAGAATAAGCTGTTTAATAGTGTTTAATACTGACGTTGGGGAGAGAAGTGTATTACTAGAGATATACTATATACATTTTGTATATCATTAAATCTTTAAGACAAATAAATTTGTTCTTGTTTACGGACGTCTCGCGTCTGATCCGTGGAGGGCGGCGTTTCCGGCCGGGCGGGCGCGCGGTGCTGGCCCTGAGCGGCCCCAGGTCTCCCGGCAACGCCAAGC